CTTTCCAACTCACGGTGTAGCTAAGGATGAACTTGAACTTGGTCCTGCTGGTGGTAGGACAGGCATGTGCCCACCAGAACCTGGTTTTACGCAGGGCTTGAGGATGAACTCGTAAAACTTTGTACAAGTGAGGCAAGCACTGCACCAACTAAGTTACACCCCAAGCCCAGCTAAGGTTTCATATTAAGGAGCAGCCTCTGGGTAGCTCGCCACCTGTGATGATGTTGTTGGCGTCAAGCCCAGAGTGTAAGAGTGTAGATTTCCCATGCAGTACGCTCAAAGACTGCAGGCAACGCTCAGACCGTGTGTGTGTGTGTGTGTGTGTGTGTGTGTGTGTGTGTGTGTTTGTGTGTTTGAGACAGGGTCCCCCTGTAGTCCAGGCTGGTCTTGCACTTGTGGCAGGTGGCAGTTATTCTGTCTTAGCCTTCTAAGTGCTGACATTGCAGGCACGAGCTACCATGGCCAACACTCCCAACAATCCTGGCAACATTTTGTCCTGGAGGGTACCTTGAAGAAATTCCTGGGTGTGAACCTTGCCTAATGGATTGGATTGTTACCTAAAACCTTTAGAAGAGAGATCTTTCCAAGATCTGCCTGCCTTTGACTTCCTAGAGATGGAATTAAAGGTGTGAGCCACCAACGCCTGGTTTGTTTTCAGCTGCTTAGCTCTGTCATATAACCATGACATATGCCAAAGCTTGGCTTGCTTTGTCTGTACCTGCAAAAATGTTGAAGCTGGGGGGGGGGGTTGTCTCTTTTTGTTTTGAATGGTCTAGCTCATTTAGTCCAAGCTAGCATGACTCCTGAGAGTCATCTCTGAGAGGAAGGAGGATCTTAAGTTTGAGAGCAACCTAGATTACATAGTAAAGCCATCACCCTGTTAGGATCTAGCTTGACAGCAAATGTTAGAAAACACCAAACAGGGTCGGAGAGATGGCTCAGTGGTTAAGAGCACTGTCTGCCCTTTCAAAGGACCTGGGTTCAATTCTCAGCACCCACATGGCAGCTTACAACTGTAATGCCAATTCCAAGGGATTGGACACCTTCACACATAAAATTAAATTATTTTTTAAAAAGAAAACATCAAACAATAGTTTGTTTACACTATGGTTCTCTTTTTTCCCATAAGTAGTTTCCACTGTGAACTACCAGCATCTGCAATGGAACTCCATGAGCAACAAGCGCTATAGGCCTGTGATCAGCACATTTGTTCTACCTCTGGTTTGGGGAAGAGTGCTTGAGCTGGGAGTGGTGACTCATACCTGTAATCCCAGCACATGGGTGACATGAAGGTCATGAGTTTAAGATCAGCCTTTTCCACATAGCAAGTGTGAAGCTAGCTGTAATACATGAGACAATTTTCTTTCTTTCTCTTTCTTTCTTTCTTTCTTTCTTTCTTTCTTTCTTTCTTTCTTTCTTTCTTTCTTTCTTTCCCTTTCTTTCTTTCTTTCTTTCTTTCCCTTTCTTTCTTTCTTTCTTTCTTTCTTTCTTTCTTTCCCTTTCTTTCTTTCTTTCTTTCTTTCTTTCTTTCTTTCTTTCTTCTTTCTTCTCTCTCTCTTTCGTCAAAACAGGATTTCTCTGTACCCCTGGCTGTCCACTACCTCTGCCTCCTTAGTGCTGGAATTTTGAAAAAGCTGTGTACCACCATCACATGGTGACAGTTTTTTGTTTGTTTTTCGAGACAGGGTTTCTCTGTGTAGCTAGCCCTGGCTGTCCTGGTTGTCCTAGAACTCTACAGAGATCCAACTGCCACTGCCTCCCAAGTTCTGGGAGTAAAGGCATGCATCACCACGCCTAGCTTTGGCAACAGTTTTTTTTTTTAATGTCAGTTATTTTTATGTATATGAGTCATATCTATCTGCACATACATCTCCATGTCAGAAGAGGGCATCAGATCACATTATAGATGGTTATGAGCCACCATATGGTTGCTGGGAAGTGAACTCAGGACCTCTGGAAGAGCAGCCAGTGCTCTTTTTATATATATATATATATATATATATATGAAAGATATATATATATATATATATATATATATATATATGAAAGATCCCCGACTGGGTATCTTTCGTCTGAGAGACCCCCTCCCAAGGAACAACGAGGCCATTCGGATGTAAACAGCAAGAGGCTTTTATTTTGATACACGGGTACCCGGGGCAGCAAGGTCACTCTGGAGGACTTTGCGCGCCCCCTAGGTAGGAAGCTGGGGTTTTTATAGGGTTTTAGAGCAGAAGCACTGGTACAGAAGCGAGAAGCATGGTTACAGGGGGCTGATTGGTACATTTACATGAGACCACGATTTGCGTCAAAGTTTGGCAGGGACACCAAGATTCCAGAACTGGGTGGTCAAAAAGGGTCATGATGACCACCCCCTTAACGTGGCCACCTGTTATTTTGTTTTTCCCTATCTTAGCTGGAACAATCTCTGACAAATATCCCATGAGGGTAGTCACAACAAGTTGTTTTTAGCTCAACAGGCAGCCTGACCACAGATATCCCAAGTGGGTGACACAGCTAGGTTTTTCAGTAATTTTCCAGTTTCTCATCTGGCCTTTAGAGTTTTACAAAACAGTGGTGGTGTCTCACAAGTCTCACAAAATGGCGTTAGCTATGTTTAACTTAGGGTGAGGCTGGGGTCTTTCAATATATATATATATATATTACAGTTTATTCACTTTGTATCTCAGCTGTAACCCCTTCCCTCAATCCCTCCCAATCCCATCCTCCCTCCCTCATCTTCTCCCATGGCCCTCTCCAAGTCCACTGATAGGAGAGGTCCTCTTCCCCTTCCATCTGACCCTAGCCTATCAGTTCTCATCAGGACTGGCTGCATTGTCCTCTTCTGTGGCCTGGCATGGCTGTTCCCCACTCAGGAGGAGGTGATCAAAGAGCCAGCCCCTGTTCTCCTTACTAGGGTACCCACTTGGATACTGAGTGCCATGGGCTACATCTGAGCAGGGGTTCTAGGTTATCTCCACGAATGGTCCTTGGTTGGAGTATCAGTCCCAGAAAAGACCCCTGTGCCCAGATTTTTTGGCTCTGTTGCTCTCCTTGTAGAGCTTCTCAGACAGTGCTCTTAACCTCTAAACATCTCTCCAGCTCTGGCAACAGTTTCTTAAAAATTAAAAATAAATTAAGCCTGCCTGAGCTCCAGTAATTGTGGGTGTAGTCCTCCAACAAAAGAAATGGCAAAAACTGAAAATGCTTACCTGTAAGAACAGTTTCTGAAATTAAACACATCAAACTGTTATATTGCCTTAGCCAGGAATTATCCCAATAACCTCCTTAATGTATGCAGTGCAGGCCAGAGTACAGTCTGTTCTGTGTGACCACATGCCTGACCTTCTAGAGCAGAGGATGGGAAAAGACCTTGATCCCAATCCCACTTGTAGCCCTAATCTTCTTCCTTTTCTGCCCATCCAAGAACATGGTTCCTACAAATATTCAATTAACTGCTTCATAATAAATCCGTTGGTACCGTCATATCTTTACACTGATGTTCTTTTTTACAATATTGTGTTTGTATCTTTGTGAGTACAGGTGCCCACAGAGGCCACAAGAGGGTGCTAGACTTCCTGGAGCCAGTCAGACCAATGTTGGGTTCTCTATACGTGCAAAGCAGTATGTTCTTTTAACCACTAAACGTCACCTCCAGCCTCCCAATACGCCTTAAATGCACTCAAACAAGACCTACATCTTGAAGGTGGCCTTCTCTTTATCTTCCTCCCTCTCCTCACTTGTACAGAGCTAATGAATTCCTTCTCTGAAGTTCTCATCTTAATCGACATGGGTTCCCTTTCTCTGAAGGCTTTTCCCCTGCTTCTGTGTCACACACCAGGTTGGCATTCCTGACATCTTCTCATCTACTACCCCTCCCAAAATGCCAGAGACGCCTTGCCCAGGCCCTTGGTTGTGGAGATAACAGATTGGAAACTGTGGTGGTCGATTTTGCCAACTTGACTGAATGAACTCAGCAGTAGTACTACAGAAACACACTGCTGGTGTCTGTGAGACCCACCTTGAATGTGGGTAGCAGCGTCTTGTGGATTGTATAAAACGAAGAAAGGGAGCAAAACGCCAGTGTTTTTTCCTCTCTGCCTCCCGATTATGCTCTTGCTCGCTATGCCTTCCATACCATGACAAGCTGTATCCTACCATGTGTGGGAAGACGACCTTGAACTTCTGACCTTCCAAGCTTCCAGCTCCCCAAAGCTGGGGTTACAGGTGTGTTCCACCAAGTCCCTGACATTTTAACGGGGCTCTATGTTTTCATCTGGTGGCTCTACAAATTATGTAGCTAGTCCAGGGGACACATACTAACATGTTGACCACAGGGCCAGGTGGACACTGGTCCTCAATTCCCATGGCAACCCCAGGTACCAGAAGGCCTCAGGTGCTAGTGTGGGAGCAAGGGTGTCCTGCCAGACAAGGGAACTCATTGGGGACACAAAGCATAGGCCTGGAGTAAAGGTGGGCCTGGCACTCTGCCTGAGGACTCTGGAAGCCAAGTGTGGACAAACATTTGAGGCCCAGGGCGTATCATCTGACTGTGCCCCAATATCATTTCTAGCTGGACTAGGGCAGGTGCCTAAGTCACACAGACCAATCATACTCTGACTCCTGGGTTTCATTGGTTAGCACCAACTTAGCATTGCTGCCTAAGAGGACCAGGAAGGCCTGAGCCTGGTGGTGAGTTCAGACACTCACAGGCCTGGTTACATGATCCTCTTCCCTCTTCCTCCAACCCAAACTCTGAGATTTGCTTCAGCAGCTGCTGGGACGGGGTTCCCTGGACCCTGGAAGGTCTATGCAAGGGGGAGACACTGAAAGGAAGGCCCCTCGAAAACAAACAAACAAACAAACAAACAAACAAACAGAAGAGGTCCTGGCTGGAGGCTGAAACAGCTTTAGTTACAGGGAGGCCAGGAGCTGGCTGGCAGTTCCTCAGTATGGGGAAAAGGGAGACAGTAGTCAAAAGGAGGCTGGGGTTCGGGCCCAGGTTACACATCCAGGTTGCTGTCACTCGGCTTAGTGTAGACTTGTGTTTTTCGCTGCACAATGCCAGGGGTAAAGGTGGCACCCAGTGGCCAGTGGCGGACTACATGGTGGTAGGAGGAGGCCAGGTAGTCAAAGTAGTTGATGTTGAGTTTCCGGGCAATGTGCCGGCCCAGGAATTCCATTTGCTACGAATAAGTGAGTGGCAGCCAGTTCTCCGTCCTCCAGACAAGAGACTCCCCACCGGTATGCTTTTTACCAGTATCCCTTCCCCTTCCCACGAGAGTATCCCGCCCTAGCCCTGCCCAGGATTCCCACTGCTCCTGCTGCCCTTTGGGGAGTGGAGGTCTCCGTGGAGGAACTGTGCTGTATTTACTCTCTGAGTACAAAACAGTTCCATCCAAGAACACTAAGCAGTAATCTGTATCTTTTAGTTGGGGGTGGGGGAGGTAGGGGTGAGGGTAGGGGTGGGGGAGGTAGGATGGGGATGAAAGTAGGGGTGTGGTGGGGTGGGGAGGGAATGAGAGTGGGGTGGGGGTTGGGGCAGGACCCACCTCATAGCGCTCTGACAGTTGCACCAGCACAAGCGGCTCTAGCTTATATCCACAAAGGACCAGCTGGAAGAAACACCTTCCATAGGCTGCCAATAGATGCACAACTGAGCCAGGGACCTACCCTCCTGGAGCCTGGGGGTGGGAGGGCAGGGGCAGGGCCTCTGAGGAAGTGGGCATAACCAGATGGACTGTCGGCCCCTCCCAGCTCTGAATCCACCACCCTCGGCCTTCTCCCTCTGACCCTCCCCCATCCGGGGCATCACCGTCAGAGCTGAGTGCCAGGCGCACATAGACCAGATGCATCGGCCCCTGATGTACAGTTCGGCCATGGATGGAGAAGTGGTACATGCCACGTGAATGGTTCAGAACTAAGCGGCGCCGGGGCAATGAGGAGACCATGAGCCACAGGCCTACAACCATGCCATAGGCTGGAAAGCACCAGATCTCCTGCCTCTCTACCTGTGGGCACCAGGGATGAATGGAGGTGAGTTCTGGCAGGAGGCTCCTGTGTGGCCCTCATGCAGAGGAGAGAGGTGTGGGGTGGGGTGTGAGGGCTTTGACCTGTCTCAGGACGTCACAGGAAACCAAGACGAGGCAGAAGATAAAGAGCAGTGTCCCCTTCCAGAGTGTGTCCAGGTAGTACTCGAACACAAAGACTGAAGACAGCAGGACCCGGTACATGAGAACAGCTGGGAGCTGCCCATAGTCACAGGACAGTGCCGGGGAGTTGGGGGAAAGGGCCCACCCGGTGGAGGTGCTCCATGCTACTTCAGTGTCTGCACTCACAGGTGCGCCTGCCTGCCCTAACCCATCCAGGCTTCAGCCAGCCTCTCTCCACTTCTGGGAACCTGGCCATGCCCAGTGCCCTGCCCACCATCCGGCTGCTGCTGGTTGAAGGGGTAAAAGCTGTTGCTCTTGAGGCGCTTGGCTAAGTGTCGCTCAGTAGAGAAAAGTCCTGGGGCCCAGAGTTGGAAGCGCTTAGCAACGACACTTGCGGCGAGGCCAGTGGTCTGCTCCTTGGGGATCTAGTTAGGCAGATGTCGTTAGAGCTGGTCACGTCCAGCTTGCCCACTGCCACCGCCCCGATACCTTTACACAGGGCTCCCACCCGAGGCAATTCCAGGGTTGCAGATTAGGGAAGAGCAAAAGCTGTCAGACGACCGCAGGGTAAGGGAAGCAGGCAGCAGTCCGGCTGGGCTGCCCCGGTTCTAGAATTTCAAGGTAAAGGGTTCTAGAAGGGCTGTTCTATTGACCACGCCCTGCTAATGGGCATGCAATCCCTGGGCAGTTTGTACTACCTGGAAGACAGCCTGACTTCCTCGTGGCTGGACAGCCTAAGCCAGTGCTTCGAACACTGTCAGCTCATGGATTCATTCCGGTGGCTGATAAAAGCCTCTGTGCCTTTTCTCCACTATTGTACACCTTACTGCCTACCCTATCCTCAGACAACTGTGTCCCAAGAGTGGAATTCACACAGTCCAAGAGTTAAACCCTGCAGTGAGCAGAGACACAGGGCTAGGACACCTAAGATCCATTCCAAACTAGCCTAGATTAGCATGAGCGGAATCCCAAATAAAACAACAAAGGGCTACACACAGAGTGCCCAAAAATACTTTTATTGTAACAAAAAGCCCAAACATTTCTAAGTGAAAAGGGACAGGCAAAGCTAGTAGGTGTCCAAGTTAAGTGGACTCTCTGGAAGAGGGTGGGCTTGTAAGCAGCTGCTCTAGACACCACTGGACTTCCTCCAGGCCCCGGTAGGCACGCTTCAGACCCCGGGGGAGGCATCGACAGGACTCCAGATTGAGATAGAGCAGCCCCGGGCAACTGCTAATCACAGAGCTGTGGAACAGGCAGGCACAGGAAAGTGAGCTGCTGGCCAGGAAGCCCTGCCTGCCCTCACCTTACACCAGGCCTACAGCCACCCAGGCCCAAGCCTAGGACTCTTGGTGTCCCCAAGTAGAAGTCTGACCAGTGCCTACAACCTTGCTGGCCTCTGGAGATGTGGAGTTGGGGAGCAGACCTCTGGTCCCCAAGTCACACACGGCAGCAAGCAGTATGAGATTCATAGTAGAGGAAGGCCCACTGACCTGACGGTGCTTGGTGTAACTCGGGTACCCCTCAGGTTGAGGGAGCACAAGGCTGGGTGTAGGTCCCCAGAGGTGCCTGAGAAAACAGCAAGGGCCTGTTCCAAGTCTTTCTCGCTGAAGCCTTGGCCACTGAAATCCAGCTCTCTCAGGGTGTGATACCACTTCTGGGTCAACAGGGAGCTGCCCTTCTTAACTAGGGTCAACCCATCAGACATGCCATACAGGCCCAGGTACAGCTGCTCCAGCTCTGAGATGAGAGAACTGAGTGTGAACGGAAGGCAGGCGCTGATTCCACATCCCGCCTACCTACCATGCAAGGCCAGCTGACCTTGGCATGGTAAATCACACAGGCCAGTAGGAGTGATGCGAGCACAGCCTCGAAGATCCAGTAGGCGCAGTTTCGGGGAGCGGTGGAGCAAGCGGCTCAGGACCTCATTGCTCACAAAGCTGCAGGTGGAGCCAGCCAAACAGAGCTCCTCAAGACTGGGGAAGCCTGGTCCCTGGGGTACCCCTCGTCCACAAGGCTTGGGAAGCCAAATCAGATTCAGCAGCCGGAGCACCTGGGAGTTGGGAGGAGGGACAGGCTGCAGATGGGTAGATGAGTGGCAGGTGGGAGAAGGTAGGGGCTATATACCTGCAGCTGGGGGCAGCTTTTCTGCAGAGCCTCCACAGGCAGCTGCAGGGGCGTGCTGTTGCAATTCATGCCAGTGCTGACCTCCAGGACTTGGAGCTGGGGACAGCAGCTCCCCTGTAATGGTGGGGAAACACACTAGGTCAAAGGCCTGGCAGTCCCCACTCGGCTCTCTTCCTGCCCATCACCAACCTACCAGCAGCGCACCCAAGATGGCTGTCGTCTGGGAACTGTAGGTCAGCCATAGCTTCCGCATTCGGGACCCTGCCTCCTCCAAGAAGTTCACCACAGCTGTGGACTCCATCTGGGGATCCAGCACAGGGGTGTGGTTCACCTCGCAAGGGCCCAGGCTACTTCAGGGTCGTTGGGGCAAAGGACTCACCATGGAATGGTGTAGGTCCAGGCTGTGGAGCTGGCAGCAGGCTTTCGCTAACATGACCAGAGTGTCAGCAGTGACATTGTGGCAGTCTGAAAGCTTGAGGAAGGTGAGCCGAGGACAGAACTTGCTAACCAGCTGTGGCAAGAGAGAGGCCATCTGGGATTGGGAAGGGCAGGTTAAGTAGCGGCCTACAGGGACACTGGTGGTCATGTCAAGCCCATCCTATGGCCCCAGCTATGACTCCATTCTGTCCCTTGCCAGGCCTACTTCGGTGCCTTTTTCTCTGGCAACTTCCTACCTAAGGTGCCGGCAAGACAGATCTGGGCAGACAGGCAGACATCTCTACGGGACAGCACCAGGGCACTCCCCAATAGCAGACACCTCAAATTGTTACAGCTGGCGCGCAGGGCAGCCTCAAGCTCTCACCTCCAACACAGAGTGTACTTGAGACTTCCAATGGATAAGGGTCAACCTCTGGAGCTGTGAGAACCTGGGCAACAGCAAGGTCCAGTTGTGCTAGGGTCCTTATGCTACCCGTCTGGCCAGCATCCTCCCTACCCAACGTGGATGCACAGAGGCACAGGCAAAGGAAGGAAGTCGATGACAAGGAACCCTCACCGATTGGGTATGAGCCACTCCAGGGAAGCAAGGAGCTTCTTCTCTGCCTTGAGGTTGCCCTTGGCAGACCTGCCAACCAGCGGGGGTGACAGGGTCACAGTATGCCAGAGCGAAGGATGGGAGGTGGCTTCATGCCAACGCTGGCAAACGCGTGCAGCCCTAGGAGAAGAAACAGTTCGCTGAGAGCGCGTGGCCTTTTGTGGGTGATGCCTACGATAAAGTGTCTTAGGACCAGCAGCGATGCCCTTGCAACCTGCAGCGCAGACGACTCAAAGCTTGCTGACGCCCGCTCTCAAAGTTAGGCTTTGGGGGGTTCCAAATGCAAAAAGGTGCTAGAGCACTCGTGTACGCCCTTTGAGATGCTTTACCCCCTGCCTTGCAGCACCACCCGCTCATTAGGCCAGTCTATACCCCGCCAGGGGCTGTTAGTGTACCTGCCAAGAAACGGCATGGGCCCGTGAGCCGCAACCAACAACCCGAAAATATGCACCAGGACTTCTAAGGGAATACGGTCTCCCCAGCCAGAATCCGGACCCTGATCGGGTGACGGCTCCGGTTGGGGTTTGGTCCTGGGCTTGGCGGCAGCCTTGGGGCCACGAGCCATTGGCCTCGGAGCGCGGCGGGGGGCGCGCCTGTGCGCACGAGCGCGCGTAGGCTCCAGGTCCGGCAGCACGAGCAGCATGCTGTCCGCCTGTAGCAAGTGATACCCAGAACCGCGAGGTGCCAGCCGGTCCCACCACCAGTCCTCGGCCGAGCGAGCCCGTGCATCGGGCCGCTTGGAGCCCCGAGCTCGACGCCGAACTCTCCCAGAAGCCACAGGAGCCATAGCCCCGGGAGCTCCGCTAAGGCGGAAGGTGGGTGGTAGGCTGGGAGGAAGGGGCGTGGTCCCTTACCTCAGGCCTTCTATTACACTTAGCTTCCGGGGGGTGGGACTTCCGCCGCGAGTTTTAGCGGGTTCGCCGGTGTCTTCGTCCAGCCCTTGGGCTGAGATTTGGCTGCTTTCCGGGCTGAGCGGCGCGCTCCTGGTGCTGGGCGGGCAGCCACAGACCCACGCCCCTGATGCTCAGTGTTGGAGCCCTGGGTAAAGCCAGCCAGCCACACCCCTCGCCGACCCATGTCGGCTGCCTGAAGTTCCGCTGTCGTACAGTTGGTTTAGCCGCGCTGAGACTTGGTCCTCCGCAAGCCCCAAGGACTGCTCCTTCGCTGATCCTCCTGCCTGGAGCCACGCTTTAGGCCAGCTTCTTCTTGCTCCCCAGCTTGTCAGTCTTGTTCTGTGGGCTCCCGGGACAGGCTCCTTGGTACGTGCAGCTCCTGATCTATCTGCCGCCTTCCTCCAGGTGCCCTGGTTTTGCATCTCAGACCCGGTCTTTTTTTTTTTTTTTTTTTTTTTTTTTTTTTTTTTGGTCTCCTTCCAGCTGGGAGAGGTTTGGCTCCTAGAATAGCCATAGAAGCTTTGGACCTTCGTGGGGAAAGAGCGGATTGTTACTTGCGCTTTGTCCTGGAAGGCCCCTTTTGACCTAATGGCAGCACCTCCGCTGGGCCGACTGGTGCTGACCCATCTGCTGGTGGCCCTTTTCGGCATGGGCTCCTGGGCTGCTGTCAACGGGATCTGGGTTGAGCTGCCCGTAGTTGTGAAAAGGCTCCCGGAGAGTGAGTGAAGAGAAGTGGGCTGAGGTGGGCCGCTGCTGCAGCTCTTCATTCCTTAGCCTAGTGCCCTTACACTGTCTCCTCCCTCCCCTGCAGGTTGGAGCCTTCCTTCGTACCTCTCTGTGCTTGTGGCTCTGGGAAACCTGGGTCTGCTGCTGGTGACCCTGTGGAGGCGCCTGGCCCGCGGCAAGGGCGAGCGGGTCCCCATCCAAGTGGTGCAGGGACTAAGCATAGTGGGCGCAGCCCTGCTGGCCCCTCTGTGGCACCATGTGACCCCAGTGGCAGGGCAGCCCCACTCTGTGGCCTTCCTAACACTGGCATTTATACTGGCACTGGCCTGCTGTGCTTCTAATGTCACTTTCCTGCCCTTCCTGAGCCACCTACCACCTCCCTTTTTACGGTCTTTCTTCCTGGGTCAGGGCCTGAGTGCCCTGTTGCCCTGCATGCTAGCTCTGGTACAGGGGGTGGGCCGCCTTGAGTGCCTGCCGGTGCCCGCCAATGGCACCACTGGGCCTCCTATCAAGGTGTCTCCCATAAATTTCCCAGAGCGCTTTTCTGCCAGCACTTTCTTCTGGGTATTGACTGCCCTACTGGGTACTTCAGCTGCTGCCTTCCAAGGTCTCCTGTTAATACTGCCATCGCCACCATCTGTACCCACAGTGGGTACAGGGCTTCGGGTAGAAACACCGGGAACAGAGGAGGAAGAGGAAGAGGAAGAGGCCTCACCGTTGCAGGAGCCACCAGGCCAGGTGGCAGCCACCGTTTCCAGCCCAGACCCTAAAGCCCATCAGCTGTTCTCTTCCCGAAGTGTCTGTCTACTGGGGCTGCTGGCTATCACCAACGCGCTGACCAATGGTGTGCTGCCTGCTGTCCAGAGCTTTTCCTGCCTGCCCTATGGGCGCCTGGCCTACCACCTGGCTGTCGTACTGGGTAGCTCAGCCAACCCCCTTGCCTGCTTTCTGGCCATGGCAGTGTTGTGCAGGTGCACATGGACCCCAAGTCCGCCCCCCCCCGGGGGGAGGAGCTTGAGGTGGGCCAGGGCCTTGGCACAGCCAGTCCTGAATCTCGGCCCATCTCTGGCAGGTCTCTGGCAAAGCTGTATTGTCTGTCTCTACTGGGCATGTTCTTTGGAGCCTACCTGATAACGCTGGCAGTCCTAAGTCCCTGTCCTCCTCTGGTGGGCACCTCTGTGGGTGTGGTCCTCGTGGTAAGTATGATGGGGACATGAAGTAGGAATAGGGCTTATCTCAGAAGCAGGGGAATCTGGTGCTCAGCCTGCTGCTGCAAAAACTCCACTCTACCCCCTCTTTCAGGTGCTTTCATGGGTACTGAGTGCGGGCCTGTTCTCATACATCAAGGTGGCGATCAGCTCCATGCTGCACAGTGGAGGCCGGCCAGCATTGCTTGCAGCTGGTGTGGCTATTCAGGTGGGCTCTCTGCTGGGCGCCATCGCCATGTTCCCTCCCACCAGCATCTATCAAGTATTTCGAAGCGGAGAGGACTGTGTGGACCAGTGTGGCCCTTGAACCTGGACCTGTGGGACTTAATTCACACTTGTCTTCACCTGGAGACTGCCGCAGTGCCTGAGTCCTGAGGCCCAACGTGGCCTCCCTTTTCATGGATATTGCACACTCCATAAGAGACCTGGCTTTTGAGAAAAGACCAGAGTGAGGACCAAAGAGAAGGCCTGGATCCAGGAATAGGTTGGGGCTGTGGCCTTCGCCCTTGGGACCTTTGTGGGAGTTGCACAATAAAGCATCTTTATACAGTGGGTTGTTAATCCCATAATCCCATGAGCACAGCCCCCAGTGCCATGTCTGCTTCTGTAGGAGTCATCCCTTCCCAAGATCCTTGTGAAGGTTCTGGGCAGGCATTTATCCATTTGTCTAATTGCTCTTGCAGGGCCTTGGGTCAGGACTCCTGCCGCCGTTGCTGTTTTGGAACTACCTTGGGAGACAAAGGCCAACTCCCAGAGCCCACATGGGGCTAAAATAGTATAACGCCTCTAGTCTAGTCAGCTTGGAGTTGGCTAGATAAGTGTGGGGCCGCTGCTCCACAGCATGTCTTGAGGGTGTGAGGGTCAGACATAGTTGGGAAGTTATCCAACAAGGGGACCTCAGGATGGTGGCTTTGACCCCTGGCTACAGAAGACCCTCCTGCCAAGACCTTTAAATTGGGTGCAAGGTTCAGGCCCCAAAGGAGCTCAGTGAAACTGGTTGTTTGTGCGCTTGGTTTGCTTTTTTGTTTTGTTTTGTTTTATCTGCATGAGTGTTCTGCCTGAGGAGGTCAGAAGAGGCTGTCTGATCCTCTGGAACTGGAATTACAGACTGCTGTGAGCTGCCATGCAGGTGGCTGGGAATCGAACAGCAGTAAGTGCTCTTAACCACTGAGTCTTCTGCCCAGGCCCAAGAGCTGTTTTTGTTTGTTTGTTTGTTTTTGTTTTGTTTTGTTTCAGGTTCTGACCGGCTCGGGACCTTTCAGCTTGAGAACATTGCTTACCAGCCCTCCAGCCACTGATTCCCAGTTTCCAGCTTCTGTGGTCAAAGCTCCCAAGTCATCTGTTCAGGTAGACATGTAGCTGTCTTCCACCCAAACTCCCCTTATAATCAGACTGCGCCCTTGCCCCATGGCATCTGTAGGGTCATCTCCGGGTTGGGTGGCTCTCACACAAAGGGCTGGAGCCTCAAGTAGGAGTGGAAAGATCCTTTGAACCAGGAGAGGGAAATGAGGATTTGGAGGCCATGCTGGGGCCAAGGGTTTTTGCCTTCTTTTTGTCTTATGGCAAACAGGAGAGAGAAGCCTGTGGGGGTGGCTGGACACCAAGTGTGTACAAAAGTGTGACTGGAATGGCAGGAAGCCTAACCCTCATGGGAGCTCAATGGGAGAAGGAGAAAGATTGCCACCCTTGCTGCCCAAGTTCTTCCAGGTCATCTTTGTGAACTTAAGACTTCTGTCCTTGACTTGGCCGCCTGGCTTTGTTTCTCTCCCCCTGGCTCCCATACCTAGTCAGGACCACCTGGGCAGGGGAACTCGTAGATTCCCTAGGAGTTCCTGTGGCTCAGACGTTGACTCAGGAGCAGGGGTGACGGAGGGTGACGTGCAGGGCTAAAGCAAGTGAGACCAGCAATAAGGTTGAACTCTTCAGGACTCTTGTTCCAGTGACTCCCTTCCCCTTTTGTACTCTGCCCTGGTCCCTGGTCAGCCATCCATGCCTGGGGCCACCAGAGGCTAGAGATTGGAAGGTTTCTTCCCAGCTCCTCTTCTTGGTTTCCTCAGGTCAGTGATCAGACGGAGGCCTCTGTCCTAAACTCACATGTGCATTTGTACAAGGTGTGCTAGATCCAAGGGCCTCAGAGCAGCATGGCCCTTCAGATATGTATGGTCTCCTGAAGAGAAGGAATCAGCTGCTTCAGACCCTGGCCAGCCCGAGCTAGAAGCGGGTGGTTTGAGGAAGCCACTGCCCTTTGAAGTTCTAGTGCCTTCCTGTCCTGCCACAGAAAACAGGGCAAGGATCAAAATAAGACAGGGTGGAAAACAATAGGTCCAGGATGGAAGCAAGGCTGTCTGCCAAGTCCGTGGGTGTTCACGACACACAGGAGAGCCCACCACCCAGGCCGCTGAGTCCTGGGCTGAGGGGTTAGAGGACACCCCACAGGAAGGTAGCTGCTGAAGGAGGACTTGTCACTGAAAGCAGTCCCTTGAGTGCTGAGCCACACTGCAGTTTTCTGTGTTGTCACCATGTATGTCCCCTTGGCTCCTAGAAGTCAGAAAAGAGCCATTTAGAGGTAGCCTCTTTTCCCAGGTGTGAGACAGCCCACGATGCAGGGGCAGGGCTTGTCTTTTGGGGACTGAATGACAAACATTAATGTCTTCTCCTTCCTGGGTTCTCAGCTCAGGGAGTCTCCAATAGCTGTGGGTTCGGATGTAACTGCAGATGGAACAGACTTTCAAAGATGCTCAGAGACACAATCTGATTTGGGGACACAAGACCATCCTTTAAGGGCCATAACAGTTGATTCATAGGGATTTCCCCAACTTCTGTGATGCTGGAAAACAAGCAAGAGAGGGGTGTGGAGCATCAGCAGTTCAAGAAATGGCTGAGTTGGCCCCTCCCACCCCATCCTACCTCCAAGGGAACAAACAATGGAGCTGCCTTTGCTGTGCTGCAGCATTCACACGGCTTCCAGGGTTCCACTGTGCTAGTTTAGGTAGGAGTTGAATTCAGAGCATTGCGTTTGTTAGACAAGCAGTCTAAGAATTGCATTAAGGAGGGAGGGGCTTATGGGGGGGATACAAAGTGAATAAAGTGTAATTAATAAAAAATAAATAATTGCATTAAACCAGGCTGGAGACATGGCTCATGGGTTAAGAGCACTGGTTGCTCTTCCAGAGGTCCCGAGTTCAATTCCCAGCAATCCCGTGGTGCCTCATAACCACCTATAATGAGATCTGGTGTCCTCTTCTGGTGTGCATTCACATATGCAGGCAGAATACTGTATATGTAATAAGTACATAAATATTAAAAAAGAATTGCATTAAATCCTTAGCTTCTTATACATATTTTTTTCTCTGTAATTCTCTTTATTTTCCTGTGTGATTTGAACCACGGGAGCAGGACTGGTGTGTTGCTCAGTGGTAGAGTGCTCGTCTAGAATGTACACCACATTCCAGAGAGAATGTGCTGGGTTCAGTCTCCAGCACTGCAAGACAAAAACTTGACCCAACTGTAGAGTATGGTAGGGAAAGAATGGGGAGTGCCTAATGGCTCCAAAGTTCGTTTTGTAAGTTGAAAGAGCCCTAGGGGTGGATGGTGGTGATGGTCACACCACATTCTGAATGTTTTTAAACCCTGTACTTTGAAAGTACTTTATTCCCAGCACTTGGGAGGCAGAGGCAAGTGGGGTCTTTCTGTTTAAGGCCAACCTGAACTACACAGTGAGCTCTAGGATACCCAGGGCTACCTAGAGAGACCCTGTCTCAAAACAAATACAAAAAAGGTGGTTAAGATAGTCAAGTTTTTATTTTGTTTTGACACAGTCTCCTATAGCCTAGCCTGGTCTTTGTTTGTTCCTATGTGAGATAGGGAGAATCTCATTATGTAGACCAGGCTGGCTTGGGTCTCAGAGACAGAGATCTGCCTGTCTCTGTTTCAGTGCTGGGATCAAAGGCATTTACCACCAGGAATTGCAAAAGAATTATTTTTTAGTGCTATCAAATGCTTACAGATGAAAGAAGAGCATGGATGGATGGAATTTTCTTCAAAGTAACCCAGCAACAGGATGTGGGGCATGGTGTAAGACAGGCAGGAGCAAGTGATTTCTGGAATTCAAGCCCAGCTCTGTCTACATAGTAAGTTCCAGGCTAACCAGGAATACTCAGAGACTCTAATATATGTATATATAGATGTGTGTGTATATATATGTGTGTATTTTAGGTTGTTAAGTTTTATCCAGACATTTAAATTTTAATTACATTAGTTTTATTTAAATATTGTAATTATCAATCCAGGAAGTCTAATCCAAAGAATTACTAAGAAAATAGCTTTAAAATGCAGAAAAAAGCCAGGCACAGGGTGGTGCACATGGTGTAATTCCAGCACTCGGCTGAGGCATGGGGATCTCTGTGAGTTTGAGGCCCGCCTAGTCTACAAAGTGAGTCCAGGACAGCCAAGGCTACACAGAAAAACCCTGTCTTCAAAAACAAAAAGCAAGGAAAAAAAAACCAAAGATGTGTGGTGATCGTATCACTCAGTGGGCTGAGGCAGCAGGATTGCCATGAATTGGGGGCCAACTGGAGCTATAGATGAGACCCTCTCAAGAAACAACTAAACAAAAACCACAGTTGGAAACACCTATTCAGCATACAAGCCAGTAATGGGAGAACAAAGGAACAAAGAGATGTGAGGGGCACGTTACGGTAGGCGGACCCCCCTCCCCATGTCATTAGCTGTACTAACATAAGTGCTAACGGGACCCTGTAATCCAGCTGGACCCTCCAATGCACTCTCCTGTTAATGTGTAAAACCTCCGGGATAGACTAAGGCCGTGGAGCAAGCCTCATTGATTATTCGGGGATTGTATTCCTGGAAAGACCAGCACAAAAGAGCAAGTCAGTTTGACCCTATCTTGAAGTCTACACCCATACCCTCGGGTGTGTCTTGGTTTTGTTCCACGTGCTTCTCTTAACCCTTGTGCTTAGTAGGCTCAAAGTATTAATTAAACCCCAATTCCACTTAAAACAAAAACAAAAAACCCAGACATCCTCTCCACTGTCTAGCCAGGTAAGTGGAGTCCCTACCCTTCATGGTGGAAACTATTTCTTTGCAACAGATGGAAACCACGACGGAGAACCACAGCCAATGAGAATGCAATGTGGAGCTCAGTACCAACTGATAGACACAACTACACCTAAAGCTAAGGAAACACTGCAGATTGTATGAGCCACCCACAGTTCTGGGAACCAAACCTGGGTCCCCTGTAAGAGTGGCAAATGTTCTTACTGGCTGAACTGTCCAGCCCCATGAGATCCTATTTAAACAGGCAGGATGGTGTTAAAACCAGCATCAGGATATCATATGGGTCAACAGTTTCATTCTCAAACTATGGAACTGGGCGTTCAGAATAAAACCCTTACATTTATGGTTAAACAACTTAAAAAAAAATAGCTCTTACTGTGTAGCCCAAGCTGGCCTTGTGCTTGCTGTAATCTTCTGTCTCTGCCTCCCAAGTGCTGGGATTACTGGCATGAACCCATGTGCTCATCTCCCTT